CTTGTCGCCAATTGCCTTGACAATCTTTTGCGTGTCGTGGGCAGTTCTGAGGGTGAAGATGTTGCCCAACACCTTGAACCCTTGGAGGGGCAGGTTTCTGGGCGTACCGCCGGTGGCCAAGATGAGCTTGGTATAGGGGACGCTGTCGCCCTTCTTGGTGGTGACCTTGCGGTCAGAGAAGTCAACGTCGGTTACCTCGTCGGCGACCCAGTCGACGGAGCCACTCTTATACCAGGCCTCGTCGCGCCATTGCAGGGCGTTGACGTCGGTCAGGAGAGCCTTGGACAGCTTTGTGCGATCAATGGGGAAGTAGCCTTCAGAGGAGATGATGGTCAAGGGACCGTCGTAGCCACCGTTGCGCAGACCCTCAACAGCTCCGAGAGCACCAGAACCTCCACCAACAATGACCACCTTTTCTTGGTCGGCACCACCAGCGGCATTGCACTTGAAGTTGGGCTTGCGGCGACCGCCCTTGATAGCGGCCTCTTCGCCAGAAATGTAGACTGCGCCGTCGCGCTCGGTGACCTTGAAGACGGGAAGGGCGTCGAGAGCAGGGGCATCCTCAACGTCGCCAGTTTTGGCATTGAAGCAAGCTGCATGCGTGTCAGTGAAGTGCAATGGAGCCAACGTGGGAGAGGATAGATACCTCCGTGCCAGGGACATGTCAAGCGACCAGAGGTGGTCAAGACTCCCTTTACGAGTGGTGCGCCAAAGTGGGTGCATTTGGGGCCAACAGCCTGTATACTGCCGCCGGCGTTGAGGAGGAGGACCTTTGCGCCCTCGATTCCCTCGACTTCAACCTCCTGCTTGTCTCCCGGCTTGAGTGACAGCGAGGAGACGGACTTGAGCTTGTAGTCGGCCATGGCTCGTGCGCTATACGAAAATGGGTTCTTTTGTGTCGTTTGTCGGAGTAGAGAAGAGACTCTTACGTGTTGGCGGAGAGGGAGGAGGAATCTGTTGGTTTGCATGAAGGATGGAGGGGGAGGGGGCCAAGGAGTAGATGGGTGGGCGAAAGAGAGGGGAAGATGGTACGGTCACCGTCGAGGGGTACTCCGACTCAGACTGACAGCTGCTGATGTAAAGCACCGGGGCGGAGGGAGGGGGTCAGATAACAAAGCACACGGGGCCAAGACTGCTTAGGTATTCCCAGATGTAGTGTGGGAGCTAAGTATCCTAATAGTGATGTGCTAGGCAGATGGTGACTGGAAGGTAAAAGCTTCCGGGGGTGACAAGTAGACAGAGATGTTGCGGTAAGTATGCTGTAACTGGGGTAAGGTGGGATGAGGCAAGACGTGATGGTAGGCGGTCTGCTGAGAGACCGGGGTTGTGTTTATGGAGGGGTTCAAGAAGGCGGGCAGTGTTTTTGTGTTTGTAACGTCGGGCGATGGAGAGTGGTGAGGATTCAGAGCATCATCATCATTCATGCGCTGGGCTTTGAGGGAAGCTCTCAATGGCTGCAGATAAACACGGGATGGTCAGAAAGACGCGAGAATGTGAGGTACCTTACGCTGTAGGTAGACGTGCAAGTGCAAGTACGAGGCAGAGATGGACGCAACTTCCTCCCCAAAATTGGACGATTGAATGATGACGCCATGACAGTGAGCTCGTTCCTCCACAGGGAAGGATCTCCCGGGATTAGCGGCGGCAACCACCTTCCCCAAGACGATGCTGTTGCTTGTGCCATTCCTTCCCTCTACGCAGTATGCTTCCTTCCAGTGCAATTCATCTGTTGTGGCAGGTGCTTGAGCTCACTCCTGGTCGTCATTGTCCACTGCGGCCCCACCTCATCCCGTCATCCCTGCCAGCTTGCAAATTCCTCCCATCTCACTGGACAAAATGCCAGAGCTTGGATCACACCTGTCTTGATCAGGGTTAGCATCAAACCTAACACACGGGTCCCATAATTATCCCACCAAAACACCCCACCACTCGGTCCACCGTCCGCAGGCACCGATTGCCCAAGCTCTTGTCCTCAATGGAGCTCAACACCAACGATTCCAACCGGGTCGATCATCACCAAGTCAAGAAAGCAGATCATCGTGAACATGACTTCTCAGTTTCTCTACTGATATTCAAGTTCCCTTCATCCAGTAGTCATAAGACAACTATAACAAAATCAACCCACTAGATATAGTCTAGATGTGGTAGACTCCCAAACGCCAATATAGTATCATCACAGCTTAGTAATGACTATGCCCAACCGTCGCGGCAGCACGACTCAAGTCTCCTTGGAAACCCCCGGCCTCTAACGTGTCCCCTGCCTCAGAATCCGCAGTCACCGGTGACTCCTCCACGATACCCCCAGAAAAAGCCCCTGTAAAGTCCATCATGCCTGCGCCCTCAAAGAAACTCACATCCTCCTCAAATTGCATCCCAAACGGCAGCGTAATGTCCATTGCCTCCACCACCGCAGCCGCAGCCGCTTGCTCTTCTCTCTTCCGTGAAACCTTATCCACCGTTGCCATCGCCCGCCGGTGCAGCTCCTTGACTACCTCGTACAGCCTGCGAAAGTCTTCGTTTGCAGAGAGACGCAGCATCATATCAAAAAGCTGCATCGCGTGTTGCGCGAGCTCCTTGTCCGCCGATACGTTCGGGTTTTCTGGGAAAACAAACATGTTGGATAGGATAATGATGAGCCCCGAAAAGTGCGCGCACGCATTGGACCAGATGCTGCAGTCCGTCTTTGGCGATTCCACAAACAGATTCATGCAGTCCCGGCTGAGCTCCACGCACTTTGCCCACCCCGTCGGCAACGGCGAGTTCTGCCTGCTGTTTCCTTGTCCTATACCATCCAGGTCTTGTATCGTCGCACGGCCGTACGAGCTGATTCTCTGCACCCAATCCGCGTCGTGCGAGTAGATGCCGTGGACCATGACGGTGATGACAAAATAGTTGTGGTAGAGAAGCGAAAGGTGCACCGTGGGAAGCGGCTCGGCGTACTCCAGCAGCGACGTGAGCTGGAACTCGGCCGGCACGTTGCGGCGCCACGTCTCGAGCATCTCCTCCAGACGCGTCACCCGCAGCTGCGCTTCCGACTTTGCCACCTTGCGCGACCTCGTGCTGTAGAGCAGATCGTATACCTTCCCCGCGATGTGGCTGAGCTCGACCCTCGCCCGGAAGAAGTTGAACTTGCTGCCGTTAGACGCAGCCATGACGCCCGCCCCGTCGTCCGGGTCCAGCTCCGGCAGGGGCAGGTCGATATCCGCGTCCAGCTGGAACGAAGGCGTCTTTGACCGCAGGCTGATGTCTTTGTCCATGCAGTAGGCGAGCCAAAAGACCCGCGACCTCTGCCGGGCGACCGCGGGCGAAAAGTACTGGAGGGACTCCTTGTCGTGGAGGTGCAGCCGGTGCGCCAGCCGGATAGCCGTGCCGATGAGGACCGAGGCAGGCTTGGGATCTTTCGTACCCTGGAAGAGAACGACCATGCCCACGAGGACTTGGATCCCTAGCAGGTCCTCTTCTCGCGTCACCAAGTCGGACACGACAGACTGTACGTTGCGCATGTGGTGCAGCACCTTCTGGTCGTCCACCAGGGCATCCAGGTTGCCCGACTCCTTCAACGTGCACCGATACCCCAACGCCAGGGCGATGTTGATGGCTGCCCAGGCAGCGGAGGAGTGATTCGAGGACGGCGAATACCAGTCAGAGAGCATTCGCATAAAGGTCGGCTGGTCAAAGAGCGGCATGATGGAGTTGTAGCGGTTGAAGAACTCGTCGATAACGGGCGTGACTTCCTCCAGCGGCGGCAACTTTGGCTTCTCCGGCTCCACCACCCACTCACTCGGACTTTCGCTGCATGAAAAGGCATTGATGAACTCGGTGCTGTCGGTTGAGTCGCCGGCACTGTCCAGGGGCAACTCGATGGTGTCTGTAAGCGGTGCGGACTGGACTGGTGCGGGTGCTGGTGCTGATGCTGAGGACGGGACTTGGCTGGAAAGGCGAATATTCGCATCCAGTGCGCGCTGCAGCTGTTCTTCTATCTTTGCCAACCGGCTCTCCAACTCTACCACTCTTTTTGGGCTGTGAAGAGGATCGTCAGTTAGAGTCCTGTGATTTGATCATTACGAACCAACGTACTCTCCCGCGGTGGTTTCTTTTGGCCGTTGCTGGCGCTCTTTCGTCGGTACTACTCTCCGGCGGACTGTGGTGGTGCGGCACTCAGACTTATACAGCAGACAGTTTGAGCAGGCCGGCTTGAGCATGTCGCACTTGATCTTTTTGAGGAAGCACAAGTCGCAGGCTGTAAGCGTGTTAGTCATGGTTTATTGGGAATGGTGGTATTTGTTACCCTTGCGGCGTTGTGATGAAGTCTCCATAGTGAAGTCGTCTGTGAGTGTACCGTGTTACCGTCTTGGGTCAACCAAGTTGGAATTCCAGACAATCGAGGTGGATGAGTTGGATATTTCAACCATTCGAGACTCTGAGTCGTAGTCCAAAGTCCCAATTAAGAGAGCGAGGCAGGGGTCTGCGTCTGTTTTGGTGGTGCGCAGCAGTAGCGCAAGGATTAAGTCGCTGGGCCAAGATTACAAATCCAGAGGTGACGGATGCGCCTAGGGGTCCCGTCAAGCCACAATCAGCTCGCATTCTCTTGGTCGTTTCATTGGGTGCTCGAATCCTTCTCGGACTTGAAGTCAAAGTCGATCAGTTTTGGATTTTTGGTTCTTGTTGTCTCTTACCGCAAACGTGCTTTCTCAGCGTTTGATTACTGCGGTGGGATCGTCAAAGTTGAGCTCACCGTCTCTCAGTACGTACCGAAGGCGCTCACCGAGTCTCACCGAGGTGACCGCACCAGATCACTTACACGACACTTGGTGAACAAGGAGATCAGATCACAAGTTTCAACCAAGACCATTTCGTATATAACTCTAGCATTCTAACAGCTAAAAAAACCTTACAAACGCAAATAAAACTATAGTCTCTAATCTAAAAGCAAGTCTAAATCTAGCAACACCACGGCAATGCACGACCACTGTCTTCAGTCAAGCAACCAGCAACCAAAACTACGCCTTGGAGGTCTCCCTATAAGGCAGAGTCTCGCCAGAATACTTGACAGCGCCATAATGCTCCAGTTTATCCCCATCGGCAATCAAATCCCCATACCAAGCCTGCATATCCTGCGCAAACCTCCCCACCGCGCCCTCATCGCTCGCGTCGAACGGCTCCTCGCCTCGCCCAACCTGATGAATCTGCGCCGCCGCCATCGTCAATCCCATCCCGAAATCCTTCTCAACCATCTCAACAGGCTGCACGGCGCCTTGCACCCTGCCCGAGATCAACTCCGAACCGAACCTAAACTCCTGCGCGCCGGGACGTCCCAACCCGACCCCGTCGACAACCTCGAGCGCCTTCACCATCGCGCCTACGGTCCTCATCCCGCCGACAATGTACGCCTTGGTCTTGCGCGCCGCAGCATCTTCGCCGAGTCCCTTGACAACCGTATCCGCAAACTCTAAGAAGAAGCCCTCCCGCTTGCGCGTACTCTCCTTCTCCCAGCTCATCCCCATAGCCTCGTACGTGCCCCCGGAAATCTCCAAAAAGTCGAACCCGAGCCCGGAGAGCAGGGCACTCATTTCCCTCGCCTCGTCAGTCGTTACCCCGCCCTCCTGGAACTCGACGCTGTTGATCTTGGCAGCCAAGATGAACCCCGGCGACGTCCGCTGTCTAACAGCCTTACCAATCTCGGCAATCAACCGGGTGCGGCTCTCGAGCGTCTGCGGGCCGTACTCGTCGGTGCGGCGGTTCGTCGTGCGCGAGAGGAACTGCGCGAGGAGGTACCCGTGCGCGGCGTGTAGCTGGATACCGTCGAAGCCTGCTTTCTCGAGGTAGGCTGCCGCGTGGGCGAAGCCTTCGATGAAGCGGGCAATGTCTTGTTTGGTGGCTTCGCGGGGCGTTGCGAATTCCATGCCCATCTTCGGTCCTGTTCTTGCTGTAAGTTTCAAGAGTGAATGATTGAATGAAGGGGGGAGAGACCACTTACCCAAGTGGACTGCGGACGCGGAGACGGGGTTCGGTTGAATCTTCTTCTGCACCTGGCGCCCGGGGTGGTTGACCTGTCCGACCATGAGGCTGCCATCGGCCTTGCCTGCGGCGGCGATGGCCTTGAAGCCCTCGAAGCGGGCGTCACCTTCTTCGGGGGCGCATTCGGGGGTGATGATCATGTCGCCCAGGGTGCTCACGTCCTCGAACTCGATTGTGATGTTGCCTGTGGAGATGATGCCAAAGTTGTCTGGTCCTTGGCCCCATCTGGGAGTGTTGGGTTAGCATCAAGGTGTTTCAGCTGTGAAGGCAAGAAGAGGAGAGGACATACCGGCGGTAGACTTCGACGAGCTCGGGCGTGGGGATACCTCTCTTCAAAGGCTCTGTGGCGCTCCAGGTCGCGAGGGACTCGGCCATGGCGCTCTTGAGGAGGCGGTTCTTGGCCGTCTTGCCGGAGAAGGGAAAGGTCAGGGGCCGGGCCAGGGGTTCCGGGCTGGCGGGGGAGCTTTCGTAGCGGGCGGGCATGTTTGTGGTGGTAGTATAACTGACTAGAGGTTGATAAATGCTTGGTTAATAGTAGGAAAAAACTGTAGAAATGCTATGATGATCGAGGAGATGATGCTGATGATGATACTGTTTGAAAATCGAAGGCGTCTAGGGAGCTCACTTATAAAGACATATTGAGTTGCCACGGGATCGAGCCCGGACGGCGCTATGGTCCCGAAATGATGCCCGCGGAGACGAGTGCAGAGTCGATGGCGCAATGTGGTAGTATCACGGCTGCAGCCGTGGCGGTGGTTTACCCGGAAAGTTAGCGTACGGGGCCCTCCACGGAGGAGACGTCCGTGGGGCACCGGGTTCCCCGGCATATCTTGTAGTAGACGCCGGGGGACTTCAACCACGTGGAATGATATGCAACCTCACTTCCAGGTGTTTTCTACAAATTTGAATGGATTACCTCTTTGTATTTTCATTTTCGTTACTATAAAAATGAGTCTCTTGTCTCCTTCGGGATTTATAGCATCACTCTATACAAACGTTCTGGATTCACACTTACGCTTCTACTTCCAAGTGCTCACGTTCATGGCTAACTCGACTCTGCATAGCAATCAATAAACCGGAACTTGAAAATGCTCTGATTTCAGAACTCAGCTGGGTACAGCATTACTCATTGCCGCGCGATTGCATCGCGAGACCGAGACGATACCACAGTCAGGCGTGTAAGTGGCCCAACTCTCGGTGAGTATCGGTCAGTATCGGTGTGAGATCCGTGGAACTCCGTGGAGCTCTCCAGCCACCGTGGCGGCCACGGCGCTCCGTGGAGTTCCACGGAGAAAACGCCAAGGATCTGGATTAATAATGCCCTCCCGTCCCCATCTCAGCGCAGATCGCTGACGGAGACCGTCGCACACGGTCCAGCTTCGCTAGGATTGTGGAGCTTGTCAGCTCGAAGGATCAAGCTTAACGTAAAGTCGTGAGTCTCTTGTTGTTGATTGACAATCACAACACACTAGGCAATGCACAGCCGCTAGGACATGTCTTTACGAACAATGGCAGTCTCGAAATCAGCACTTGATCAAACGCAAAAGCAAGACGTAATCAGGAAATACTAATCAATGAAACACTAGGGTAAGAATCTACTCATACATGCATTCTTAGCTTCGCTTGCGCCCCAGAACATCCTTCTTACAACTCATCCTTGGCCGCATCAGACGACTTCGTCTTCTCGTCAGACACCTTGGACTCCTCAGCATCAGCCTCGGCCTCTGGCGCAACCTCTTTCACCTTGAGAACCTGAGCCTTGACGGTGAACTCGATGTCCCTCTTGCCATTGGCGGTGTCGGGACGGGTATGGCTGACGGGCCACGCCACGACGGCGGCATCCTTGGGCACGGCCTGGTAACTACTCAAGTCGGCGAGCGTCGCTGCGATGATATTAGCCAGCTGCTCTTACAAATGCATTCGAGGAATTGGAAAGGGAAGGGAAACGAATGGATGTCAAACTCACCTTCACAGTCACTGCCGTCGGCAACAAACAGAGGAAGAACAGGATACAACGCTCCCGGCGCAAAAATAGCAACCCTCCCCTCATCAAGCCCACGATCAACCTCCTTAGCCTCGCCAGGAACAGCTACCCGCTCCGTAATCTTATCCTCTTCCCCAGCAGGCTTCTCAAACACAGCAAACAAACCCTTGCCGGCGCCGTCAGCCCGCTCCTCCTCCTCAATCCACTCGCGCACGCGCAACGGAACATCGGCGTACTCCATCATGAGTACGTTGCGGTCGTACATGTGGCGGTCGAGGCCGGCCCAGCCGCCGGGGTACTCGCGGCCCGAAAAGAAAGTCTTGAGACCGTCGCCCCAGGGGAAGAGGCCCGTCGGCGGCTTGTCAAAGAGGTCGTGGAGGGTGTACTGTGTGGCGGCAAAGGTCTTTGACGAGGAGCAGGTTGGGGTGTAGGCGTCTGTTGTTGCCGAGGTGAAGGGGTCGCGCCAGGGGAAGTTGTCTGCCATTGTGGTTTTTGCTTGGGGCATGGGCGGTTTGCCGATTTGGAAGGCCGAGGCGGCCGTCGCGAGGAGGGTGGTTGCGAGAGGGAGGGATGTGGACTTCATTGTGGTGGTTGTGTTACTAACTTTTGAGAAGACTCCCTCGGTGAGGATGGTGCTTTGAAGAGTGACCCAGGATGCGATGAGAGACTAACACAGGAACATGAACGAAACATAGAATGGCTTTTCTTCACTCATCTCCCAATTGACTTTGCCCGGCCCTCCTCATATAAACCGATTGCTTGTGGCCAGATTGGCAACTCCAACGACATTGTTGTCCTTTGCGGACGCAGCATGCTCCGGATTGCCATATTGAGTCGCGGGTTCCTGATGCCAATGTGGGATTTAATGCGGCCGAGCGACGAGTTCTTCCGTCTACTTCTCCATCCGCACCTTTACCCCAAGTTACGTGAGTTCAAGGCCCCAATTCGACTCCACTTTCCCCTCATTCCCGGCTCGACGGGAGCGGGTTGCGGACCTCGATCCTTGTGCCGCCGTTGTGTCTTTATTTCTGCTGGTCGACTCACGTGTCAACTCATCTTACCTAAGGGATCAATGATCCATGTCTCGTTGTGGTCTTGTAATCTTGTCTCCAACTGGCACCATCTGGGTGTTCTCGTCACATCACGATGAGATGAGCTACCCGATCTCCGAGTGGTGACGTCTGTCTTAGTTCAACGCTCACCCCACCTCAGTTCCATAGATCCTCTCATACGCGCTACGTTAGGCTCAAGGGCCAAGACTGGTATATCCTCTCATTCTTGAGTTACTGCAAGAGAGAACCTTGATGACCTTGAGTTCGAGATAAAGACACTCTTATTCCCATTCACTTCATCCTATGCGAAGTGAAGTTCATCTCATCCGATCTCCAACCTTTCAGCGTCCTCCCACATGCGATGAACACACGAAAGGCTCTTCAAACGAGATGAGCTTGGCACTGACTTGAAAGACTATCACGACGCCAAAACTCGACCCCGCCTATATCCACCCAAACAGGAACCCAGACCTTCTTTCGACTCACTGCCGAGCTTACTCAAGCCTGACAAGCACTCTCACAACCTCACCTGACGTCGTCCATTCTCCTAACCGACCTCCCGTACCAAAATCCCCCCTCTCATTTTTGATAAGTCCGGACGCGAAGCTGGCGAACCATGGAACACGGCGAGTCTCCAGTCGTGAGCAGGGGTGAAACGAGGGGGGCAACATCGAATTTTCCCCGAGCAATCGCAAATCTTGCAAATGCCGTCCCGTTTCCAACCCTCCACGGCCATCTTCTTTCGGATAAGCATGTCTTTTTTCAGCCTCGTGTCACCCTTGCCTGCTTCTTATTTCATCTTCATATGAACCCACTCCAACGGTCCAGAAAGGCGCACCATGTGTGCATGCACATCCGCTCCGAGCCGAAACGCCTCTCTCATTGGCTCTAGGAAGTAAAGCTCCGCTGCTCCATGCCGTGTCTCTCTGGAGGCGCTGGGATCCATGACGTCGCGTCTCCGTCGAAAATGACGGCGCGCGCCGTCATGAGCTTCAGTCTTTTGCCCGCCCAGTGTCGCATCGCGCTCATTCGGCTGGTTCGTTTGAGGCGTCTGGGCCCGGATGAGCTATTGGCTGCTTAGTTATGTGATAGCTGTCTTGTCTTCGTGATTCTCTATAAGGATCAATGATTCCAATGACTTGACAAGTGATTGGAAATAAATCTCGTAGACTCTTCTTGGCCTTCTTTCCAAACCCAAGAATTCATATCAGTAATCACGCACAAAAATGGCTTCACAAGCAGCATACGCAGCCGAAAAGGCCATTGGCCACCAAGACGACGCCATCACCGCCCAAGATGTGACCGAATACAGCGGAAACAAAGGTGACGACGGCGAGCTCATGAAGGCACTCGTATGGCAAGGCAAGAACAAGGTCGAAGTTGGTGAGTGATGAACAACCAGTGTTTGCCCCCCCTTGCAATCGTACATCCTAACCTCGCCGCCCAGTCACCGTTCCAAAGCCAAAGATTCTCGAGGCCACCGATGTCATCCTCAAGGTCACCGGCAGCACGCTCTGCGGCAGTGACCTCCATCTCCTCCACGGCTCCGTCGTCCAGATGAACAAGGGCGACATCCTCGGCCATGAGTTCTGTGGTGTCGTCGACCAAGTCGGATCCGCCGTCACCAAAGCACAGGTCGGCAAGCGCTACGTCGCCTCATTCCAAATCGCGTGCGGAAGTGTAAGTTTCTTGTCTTCTTCGTAGACACTAATGAGTGTAGCAAGAAGCTGACAAAAGTCCAGTGCTTCTACTGCAAGCAAAAACTCTCCTCCCAGTGCGAGCGGACAAACTCCAACACCATGGAGAAGTCCATGTACGGCTCCCAAACGGCCGGCATGTTCGGCTACTCCCACTTCACGGGCGGCTTCGCCGGCGGCCAGGCAGAGTACGTCCGCGTGCCCCTCGGCGACGTCAACCTCCTCGCCATCCCAGACAACGTCCCCGACGAAAAGGCCCTCTACCTCTCCGACGTCCTCGCCACGTCCTACAACTGCGTCAAAGACACAGCCGTCTACCCCAACGACCAAGTCGCCGTCTGGGGCGCGGGCCCCATCGGCCAAATGGCAGGCGCCTTCGCCCTCGACGAGGGCGCCTCCAAGGTCATCTTCGTCGACACGGAGCCGCGGCTCTCCTACATCAAGTCCAAGTGGCCCGCCGCGCACGCGGACAAACTGGAGCTCATCGACTACAAGACGCTTTCGCACGGCGTCACGAATAAGGAGACGGTCGTCTCGCGGCTGAAGGAGCTCTGCGGTGGTCGCGGACCAGATGCCGCGCTCGAGTGTGCGGCGGGTGAGTACCCCAAGGGCTGGCTGCACACGGTGGAGATCGCGCTCGGCGCGGAGACGGACACGAGCGAGATTGTCAACGAGATGATTGAGGGCGTGCGCAACTTTGGCAGGGCGGGCATCACGGGCGTGTATGTCGGGTACACGAACCACTTCAACATCGGATCGCTGATGGAGCGCGGGGTGCGGCTCATCGGTAATGGGCAGGCTCCTGTGCATCTGTACTGGGAGGATCTGCTGAAGAAGATTCAGGAGGGCAAGATTGATGTGTACCAGATGCTCTCGCACCGCATCCGTCTCGATGACTTGGACAAGGTGTACTACAAGTTTGACAAGCATGAGGACGGGATCCAGAAGATTTTTGTCGAGACAAAGTTCTCGTTCCCTAGGGCGGAGGGATCTCCCGAGTTGACGACGTATTAGGCTAGAGGGTTGGCTAGAAGTATGAGTAACGTGGCTGTAATGAGATATGATGAACATTGCATTCGCGATTAGACTGTTCAAGCGTATTATGCTGTGTATGATCTAATCAACTTTCCCTATTTCAACGTACTCGACCTCGATGGCCTGTATATGATTTAGAATTAAGATGAGATACGACTTGAGCATAAGCATCGAACAATAAATTCCGGCGCCACCAAGAACCACTGTCCGTGCCAACGTTAAATAAAGATTTCTTGATTATAGTGTCACTCACTGACTTCGGTATGGACGGATTGCAGACTGGAGAAGGATGGTAGACAGTCTCTGGGCCTGGATCAACTGTGCCAACCACATCTCGAAGCGAATACATGCATGTCTCACCTTTCAGCAGTTGTTGATGGCTATACTCTCATCAGCCAGCTTGATGTCCAGGATCGTTCAAGCCCGGAAGCGACATCACCTTGCAAGGAGGGTAGCTCGTCGTGCTGCAGCGCTTTCTAGTTGATATCTCACCACACGACGTGACACATTCTATAAGTATATCCAGACTTGATGTAAGTAATCGTCGGATCCATTTCGGCCTAATCATCAATGTCCTCATCAACATATTGAATAACCATACAATGAACGGACCCTCTTACCCCTTCAACAGCCCGCCGTAAACTATCCTCTCATCACCACAAAGATGATTCCACTAAATCAACAAACCCCCTCGCCGCCAACTACCTCTTTTCTCTACCGCCCCAGTCCACGCAGTTGTTCCTTCTTAATGTCATCAATAGTATCCCTCGACTCGACAGACACCCTAGAAGTTATACCCATCTGCTGGTCCCCAACAAATCTCTTGTTGTTCGTCCCATCTCTCGGCGTATACGCTGTCGGGAGAGGATACTTTGACGTTGAGTACGGGGTGGAGGGGTACGACGCTGGAGCCGAGAAGATGGACTTCACGGCGGTGGAAAGTGAAGAAGAAGAAGACGACGAATCGGTCTTTTGTTTGATGGTTTTGGCGTAGGTGTTGGGCATTGGGTATCGTGAAGCCATTGCGTTGGAAGTGGTCAGAGTGAAGTTGAGCTTGCTGTGACAAAGTTTGGCTTTAGAGACGTTGATTCTTAAGTAATGAGAATGAAGATACAAGTCCGGGAAGACATCAAGCATAAGTTTGGCGACAATGCCTCCCTTTTATACTTTTCACCGCCGACACCTCTTCACCGACGCCCTTGACTGTTCACTTGACTCGGTGTTAAACAACGCAGATAGATCGCCGCCTTCCAGGCCGCCAATCATGCAACCGGCTGACATCCATCGCGACGCCAACGGAAGCCTTGCCCGACGCCATCGCCCATGCAGCTGCCTGGGCTTACGATACCGGCATACCTGGAATATGAATTCCTTCTCGTCCCTTTCATCAAGATGGCGTCCGTGACGCATCACGCACGACACCAAAATCCAACCAAAGGGCGCAAAAGATTGTCCCTCATGATGGCAGGGCTACACTCTCCGCCAATCGTATCGAACCCAACGCCCGGCGATAAGCCGACGTTCAGCCTGTCCAACTGAGAAAGATGCACCCGACATCACCAAAGAAAACTCACGACATGGGTACAAACTAAAGATAAGGTAAGTCCGTCAGGTGGGAAACAGCACGGGGGGCTGCCAGTACTTCCACAATGAGGTGTAAATGCCACACCCGGCGAGCTGGAGCCGGCAAGTCGGGAGGCAAAGTTTACGGGGGAAGCGGGAGATGGGGCCGGGGCTGTGTGGGTGAACTTCGCGTGATTGTCGGGCATTGGGGGAGCGAGGAACCCAAGTGCCGGGCC